GGTATGCAGTTGTGGAATATGAAAAGTGTGACTATGGCTAAGAAAAGCCAATGCATATGGTTGTGAGTATATATGTTTGTCCTTAAATGCATGGATTCAGATAAATTATTTTGCAGGTTTAAGTTGCAAGAACTGTTAGCCCATTACGCGAGTAATTCATGTCGAAATTTTATTTAGGTAAATTTTGATAATTAATGTAACACCCGAGATTAATTTCGCTGCAATTGTATGAACAATATGATTAGGCAAAACCTATAGGGTAGGGTGTTACAACCTGTGAGCACCTGACTGGGGGGCAATTGTTGGGGAAACATAGATGAGCCCATCAAAGTCAAGTGCCTGATGGGCTTGAAGCCCAATAATGGCCCATCGGGGCATGACCTAGGTGGAACCAACGTTAAAGGGGCGCATGACGACAAAATAGGCCCGTGGACAAGGAAGTACGGCTGTGAAAGGCCGGGAAAGCGCCACGTAGGCAGATGGTCCCCCCAGGCGCCCTGACGCAAGAGCCGGACGATGCGCCAAGTGTAGGAGCTAGGACGTTGGACCAGGCCAGGCATTTAATGCTCGGCTGACGTAAGGCTGGGTGACAGGAGTTGGTCGGAGCCTGGTCGGAAGCTCAAGTAGTATAAATAGCACTCGGTAGGTGGCATTTAAGCAGGTCGGTTTCTCTCACTAAAGTCACTTATTGCACTTATCTCTCTAGAATCACTACTGACTTGATCGTCGGAGTGCTAACGGGCGGGTTTATCCCTCTAGGCGCTAGTCTTGCAGGGTCTGGGCGCCTGCTTTGGAGGGAAACGGTGCGTTTGGCGGAGAGAAGTATTGTGGCACAAACAAATTGCATTTTTAATTGCATCGATGGAAGTGTCATTGCAATAATGCAAGCTACCAATTTTTGCAATTGCATTTGCAATTCCCACATAGACATCCATCATTTTTATTTGGGTTTTTTCTCGTTTCTTTTATTAAAAGAATAAGTTGGACTCACATATGCAATTGAAAGCTAATTGCATTGATGTAGGTGAATGAAAGTAATGTGAGTTGAATTGCATAAAAGTTTGAAGTGGTAAAAAAAAAAGCACAAATGCAATTGCAAAAACAATTGCATTGATGTGGATGCTCGAAAGCAAAACATAGTCAACTCAAGGCCGGCTCTTGGGGTGTGTGGGATGCCCTCCCGCACAGTCGCACGGGGCGTCAGAATTATAGGGGCCTCCTAAGTCTCAAGCCTCTATCATACACAACTAATTATTATTAGAGTAAATTCAATTTATTAATCAAACCTTCTATATTTTCAAATAACTCACACTGAGTTATTTGGACAAACATAACTTGATACGCCTCTGGAGGTATATGTTATCAAAGTCACGCAGCTAACGACTCAATTGAAGGATCGATTGAGCTCGAATCAAGAACGAAGCGTTCTTAATACGAACTTGGATAAAACGGAACCAAAAGTGCAATTGCACACCTTAGAAAAGACTCGATTGGTATAATGATAGATGCCCGGCCACGATCAACGCGTTCTTGATCGATACAAGGGCTCAACGAGCTTGGAATCCATCAAAGCTCACACAAGTACGCAAACTTGCACAAACCCAAAGGTTTGAATTTAATTCATCAAAATCTTCTCTGCTTTACAACGAAAACTAGAAAAGTATTTAATGGCAAATAAACCTAATACAAACCTAATAGAACTAGGAAACAATTAAGGTAAAAATATACTCTAAAAAGGACTCAAAATTTGGGTTTAAACTTCCTTTCTTGAAGCACAAGTAAGCTGCCAGCAAACATTCCAAAAGCCGTTTCGTACTAACTTCACGCCTTTCGTTCGAGGCCTTCCATAACTCCGATCTTTCATCCAGTTCCTTCCCTTGGTAGATAAACATACCTATTTTCATTTTGTACTCGAATCAACTCCATGCTCCTCGAATTGAGCTCCAAAGTAGGCTTCACAAACACGTTTGCAGACTTAAAAACCATTTTCTGCCAGTTTTCCAGTTTTGAGGTAGCAACTTTGAGGCATTGGAAAACAAACTTAATGACTTCTTCTGGATCCAGAAAGTATACCATTGGAAAGATGGAAACTGTATCTTTAAAACAAGCACCTAACCTTGAATTTCCACCAAGCCAATTGAGAGAACCATGCCTCCAAAGTAGGTACCATGAACTCGGAAAATGACTTGCCAAATCCTGCCCTTCTTCTTCCAAACTTTGATAGCTTCTTCGGTAAGTAATAAAAACATGTAGAGTTGGCCATTTGGAATCATATAATAACTCGTTAGGAAGCATTTCATTTGAATGAGTTATTTAGCAGTGAGTTATTTACAAATCTCAAAACGAGTTATTTAAATAACTCCTACCCCCTGTATTATTTCTAACTTACTCGTTTTACCACTTTGCTTTTTCCAAATACCACATTTGCATGCTTCTACCAAACAAGATACTTTAATCCAATTACCATTGAAATAACACTAAAATACCACATGAATCATTATTAAGTTATTTGATGCTACACATACCACATTGAGAGTTAATCTATCCAAATGACCCCTTTTATAGCTATTTGTCTTATTTATAGGAAAAAATACATCAATCTTGGGATTTCAACCATATTCTCTTTAAAAAAGGACGTGAATCATTACCAATTATAATACATCAATTTGATGTACCTTTTTAAAATAAAAACATACTGATGTTTGATATTTTGGTTTTCATATTTTAATTATTTAATTCGACTTTAACAATTAATTTAGTTATTAGACAAAAATACACATTTCAAGTATTTTGAAAAATGCAGTATATATATATAATAAATACGTCATATTCAAATGACATTCCGAACAACTGGTGGATAGCATATACAGAGTAGTTGTTTACATATTGGCTGATTTAAATTACTTGTTTTTGCCCATGATTTATTACTTAATCCCAGTCATATGCACGACCCAAGACTAGGCTAAAAATCGAAAGAGGCGATGAGAGGAGCTCTCTCCTCTCTCCTCGTTCAATGGTGGAAAGCCGTTGCGCTGATTCTTGAGCTTTGTCGATCAGCGGGCCATTCCATTCTTCACCTCGTTGGGATGGCGCTCGATGCTACCCTTGTTAACCAGGGTTTTGAAGGAAATCGGCGGCAAATCGGAAGTCGTGGCTTTGTTGAGATTCACATTGGTGTGGAGTCGAGGCGACGCAATTAGATAAGCGCCCCTCTGGACTGTGTTTCAGAATTTGGGTCCAAGAAATTGACATGTTAGTAAACGCGTGCGGTGATCCAAGAAATTGACGTGGCGGTTTCGCCTACCCTCGTCGTGTGAACTGGACGGCGAGGTCTCTATAAGTGTTAATACTCAACCTAGGGAGGAGAATGTTTTGGAGGCAGTAGATGTCGTGTGGGTTTCTCGTAAGCATGAGTTTAGATCCCGTAATGGGGCGAGCTCTGCCGTGATGTCCTCGAACGTGAGGCCACAAGCAAAGCCTATCCAAAATTGGCCGGTGGTTGTTTCCCGGCAGCTCCCGAGGACCCAAAGTGTCCTGGCGAGCGCTATTTCCCTGGATACAGTGACATCTATCCTAAATTGGCCGGTGTTATTTTCCCGGTAGCTTCAGCGGACCCAAAGTGTCCCGGCGAGCGTAACTACCCGAGAACCGATGATTAGTTCGCGTAACCGTAATCTGGATCTTCGGGTGGGGATCGTTAGAGAGATTTCCCTGACGGTTTTTCTCCCTGTCAAATTATCACGATTTGGGATAAATCAAAAAAGCAAAGCTGTTTTTTTAATCGGGTTCGTTACCCACTCCAAGAAGGAAACCTGTTGCTAACTGTAAAACATGGTGCGGCCTTTGCTTTAAATTGCCTTTGTACCCCGGCTCTTTTCCCACACAATCACCGTGAGAATTTACTGGAGGGACAAAACAGAGCAGCTTGTAGCCGCCGTCAGCAACTTGTTTCGGGTACATGGGTTTCTTCCCTCGTTGACCCGCTGTTCCTTCTTTCTGTTGAGAATTCTCCCCTGCGTGGGATTCTCGCCATTAGCTCTTGCTTCCCTTGGTCGATCCCGGATATCCCAGAGTCCGACGGTGTGCTAAGTGATCCTGGTTCTTTATCTGTTTTGCAGACGATTACCATGTCACGTGTTGCTAGTGATCAAGTGGTCTCTTTCTCCCTTGCGGAGATCCAATCTGATAAGGTTCGAAATTCCATGACCCTTATTGGCATTGGCAGGTTGTTCTCTGATAATCGAATGTCCGCAATGGAGCTTAGGGAATCGGTTAACAATCCCTGGCAAGGTCAGGGCCGAATCCAAGTTCGGCTTGTTGCGCATGGCCTGTACGAGTTCGTGCTCCCCACTGAAGCAGCTAGAACCTGGGTGCTCCAACGCACACCCTGGGTCATTGCAGACAAGATCCTCAACCTTCGGGCCTGGGTCCCGAATGTCACAATCCGCACATTTGATGAGCTTGCTATTGCTCCGTTCCATGTTCAAATGTGGGATGTTCAAGAGGACTGCTGCACCCAACATTTTGTGCGGAAAGTGGCGAATGCAACTCTGGGTCGTGTCTTAGAGGCTGGAGTTTTCTCCTGTTTGGATTCGGGGCGCTGCTTTTTGAAGGTTAAAGTGTTGATTGATTTCTCGAAGCCTCTGCGTTCACAGGTCTTGGCTTCGAATGACGAAACTAGTGATTTCTGGATTCGGTTCAAATATGAACATCTTCCTAGCTTCTGCTTTCACTGTGGCCGAGTTGGGCACTCTCGTCAGGCGTGCTCATTTGATCCGCCAGCTAGGAAGGAACGTTTTGGCCCCCACTTGTCAACGAAGAAAATGGGGAGGAAAATTTTTTATGAGGAAGAGGAGAAGCTGCGCTACCCCGGACACCCGGAAGCAGTATGGATCAATAGGGATATCCGTGGGGGCAAGAGCTCTAGTGATCGGGTGCAAAAGGGGACTTGGGAGCTAGACAGGGGCGCCGAGGTTCGCTTTCAACAGGACGAAAGAGTGATGGATATGCAGCCTAAGGAGGCTAAGCAGCCTTTCGTTGATGAGAGCCCGTTGTGGATGGGTTCCACTATAAACCCTTTCGTGAAGGCTGAGCCGAAAGGCTACCCAGGGAAGAGCCTGTTTCGGGTGCCGATTGGGAAACCTCCCAAGCTGGCTCTGGGGAAACAAAACAGACGGGGAAGAAATAAGAAAGGCGACGACGGTGGTTCCTTGGCCTCTGGTCGGCAACCCACGCCCAAGCTGGTGACCCAAGGAAGGAGACTTATGAAGATGAAGCACGTGGTGGCTGAAGGTCTCGCTCAAGATGAGCAGGCCATGGAAGGCGTTACCAACATGCATCATACAGAAGGAGGGTCGGACCCAGTTCGTCGCCGACGTCTTATACTGGAGGAAGAATCGGAGGAGGAGTTTATAGTGCATGAGGTCCCCTCGCCTTTGCCCCTGCGCCAACCTGTCAAAGACACCTCGGCGGTGAAGATCAAGGCGCCGGGCCGACCTCCTACGGCAGCGGCAAATCCGCGTCGCCGAGCAGCGAGAAAGAAAGCCAGTGATCAGAAATGGGATCATTCCCCTGGCGAGCGGCGCCAGGCGGCACGTTCTACTGGCCGTCGTAAACTCCACTCCTTGGCTTCCAAGGGCATTAAAATTACGCAAGCTGAAGGACAGGGGAGGGCTGACAAGAAAATGGGAAGTGGAGGTGCGGCTAGGGCTCCTGCAGTCGAAGGGAGCGATGATGATGGGGATGTGGATAAGGTTGTTCCCTTACCACCTTCTCCACGGGGCCCTCCTGTTGATGATCAAAGCCCGGCTTGTCCTGGGGTAGAGGATCCGAACTCGAAGGAGGATGCTCCTTCTTTTGAACTGCACCGCCGGCCTCCCATGGAAAGTAAGAAGTGCAGCGCATGGCCCACTCAAGTCGGGTGAGCCAGGTTGTGCAAGCCTTTGAAAATGGGCTCACCATGGCAGACCCAGAACTGCAAGCTTGCCTTGACAAGTCGAAATCCAGGGAAATACTTGTGGAGGGATTCAGTGCTTTTGATGAGTATGGCTCGAATTTGAGCGACCCAGTTGTGGGGGCTAGAAAAAGGCAGCTTGAGGGGATTGAAGGGGAGATTGCGGAGTCGCCTTCTCAAAAAAAAACAATTTATTGAAGAGGTAGCTGATTTGGATTCGGTAGAGGTAGCCAGCCGTGAATGGCCCCACCCAGATAAATGAGGATTGTCACCTGGAATGTGAGAGGAATTGGACCATCCCTCACATTTCAAACTGCTGTAGGTTTACTTCGTTCCAATAAACCGGATCTCGTGTTTTTTTCGGAAACTCGATCGAGCCGGCATGTAGTTGCCCATCGGATGAGGGGCTTAGGTTTTGAGTCTTCTCGTTGTTTTTTTGTTGATGCGATTGATGCATCTGGTGGTTTAGTTGCTGCTTGGTCCCCCGAGGTTGATGCTTCGGTGTTCTTTCATTCAAACTTTTGTATTTGTGTCCAACTTAATGAAGTGGATTTCGCCTATATTGTGGTTTTTGTTTATATTAGTTGCAATGTTGCTATTCGAGCGTCCCAACTTGCTCAACTCCAAGATATTTGTGTGGCCTTTCATCTTCCCTATGTGGTCATTGGGGACTTTAAAGCTACTCTCCAATTGATCGGATCAAAGCTCAGCATCCAATCGACTGGGACGAGGTCCATCGGTTGGAAGTTGATTTAAGTAGCCAATGGGAGGCGGAGGAAATCTATTGGCAGCAAAAATCTCGAGTTCGATGGTTAAAAAAGGGGGATCAGAATTCCGCCTACTTTCATACGGTTACCAGGACTCGCAAAAGAAAGAACTTTGTGGCTGGGTTGCGAAATGATGAGGGTGACTGGATTACGGAGGAGAAAGGGAAGGCTGCTATTACGGAGACTTTCTATCAAAACCTGTTTACCTCGGAAAACCAGGTGCTTAATTTGGCAGAGCGAGTGGATGGCCTACTTTTCCTCAGAAAGTGACGTCTGAGATGAACGCTAGTCTCACGGCCGAAGTCCTTCCTGAGGAAGTGCGTAAAACAGTTTTCTCTATGGGGTCTAAGTAGGCTCCGGGTTCGAATGGTTTCACTGGAAAATTCTTTAAAGCCATTTGGGATATTGTGGGTGGTTCTATGACTGAGGCTGTATGCTCTTTCTTTGCTACAAGCAAGATGCTTCGGAGTTTCAATAACACATGGCTGACTCTGATCCCGAAAGTTGATAATGTGGAGAGTATATCCCAGTTGCGCCCTATCAGCCTATGTCAGTTTGTCTATAAGATTATAACTAAGATCATGGTTGAACGACTTGCCTGCTTTCTGCCACAAGTCATTTCGGAAGGGCAGAATGCGTTTATTCGAGACCGTCAAATTATTGAGAATATCCTCCTTGGGCATGAGTTAATGCACTACTTGAAGATCAAAACACGGGGTAAGAAAGGGTACATGGCTCTAAAGGTTGACATGGAAAAGGCCTATGATAGAGTCGAGTGGCCCTTTCTCCTTGCAGTTTTGGTTAAAATGGTCTTTAACTCCGCATGGTGTGGATGGATTCATGAATGTCTCTGGTCATCATCTTTCTCGGTCTCAATGAATGGTACCCCGGCAGGTTATTTCACTCCGTCTAGGGGGCTTCGACAAGGTGACCGTCTCTCTCCCCTTTTTTTGTGATTTGCACTGAAGGGTTTGCCGCAATCCTTCGAAAGGCTATCTCAGAAAATAAGCTTGGTGGAGTGAAAGTGGCCCCTCGCGCCCCGCGGATCTCGCATCTCTTCTTCGTTGATGATTCTTATCTTTTCTTGCGAGGTTCTCTTCAGGAGTGTGAGAATTTGATCGAGGTCCTTAATGAATATGAAGAACTTAGTGGCCAACGAGTGAATTTGGCCAAGTCGGCTGTTTGCTTTAGTAAGAACATTGCGCTTCACGAACGGGAATTCTTGGCGACGATTCTGGGGGTCGGTGCGGTAGGGGTTCATTACAAGTATCTAGGCTTACCGACACTAATTGCCTGGTCCAAAATGGCCACCTTTCGGTATTTTGAGGAAAAGCTTCTTGAGCGCCTTCAGGGATGGAAACAGAGGACGTTATCTTGGGCGGCGAAGGAAACATTGATTAAATCCATTGCCATGGCTCTGCCGCTGCATGTGATGTCTTGTTTCAAGTTGCCTGTCTCTCTGTGTCGGCTTTTGGATAAACATGTGGCCAGGTTTTGGTGGGGGCTGGTAGAGGGCCAACCCAAGATTCGTTGGATGTCTTGGAGTAATATGTGCAGGAGTAAGCATGAGGGAGGGATGGGCTTTCGCCGGTTTGAGCACTTTAATCAAGCCCTACTTGCTAGAATTGGCTGGAGTATTCTAACAGAGCCTCAGTCTTTGCTTGCCCAGGTCTATAAAGGCAAATATTTCCCTACTGGTACCTTCCTCACAGCTCAAGCCCGTTCACGACCTTCGTGGGGTTGGCAAAGCATCATGTTTGGTCGCCGGCTGCTGGACAAAGGTTTACGTTGGCAGATTGGTAATGGCCGGTCGGCTTCCCTTATTCATTCCACATGGGTTCCTTCGCTTCAACTTGATCCTCTAAGGTATAATCCTCGTGTTTTGCCTAATGGGGGTGATCTGTTGGTCGTAGAGGTGATTTGTTAGGGGGAAGGACGTTGGAATGATGCTAAACTGGGCCAGTGGTTTGATCCGCCTACCTGTAGAGCCATTAAAGCTATTTCGTTGCCACGACATAATGTGGAGGATAAGCTGATTTGGCACAATACTAAGAATGGGGTTTTCTCGGTTAAATCATCCTATCATATTGCGCCCTCACTAGAGAGGCGTGGAGGGCATTGGAAGGCGTTGGCCAGTTGGATTCGGGTTTGGGGTGCTAATGTTCCGCCTAAACTTAAGGTGTTTGTCTGGCAGATTCTCAATCGTATCCTTCCCACTACTGAAGCCCTTATTGAGAAGAAAGTCCTTGTGCTCCCTCGTTGTCCGGTGGCCCGCGCCCTCTGGGAGTTTTCTGGGTTGGATTACCTCGGTGAGGGGCTGCCTCGTCATACCTTTCCTCTATTTCTAAAAAGGCTGTTGGCTTTAATACATCTCCCAGACTTGGTTATGGTAGTTGTCGCCATCCTTTGGCGTATCTGGCGGTCTCGGAACTGGGTTGTCTTTGAAGGCAAGCAGTATGGGATCCATGCTCTTATGCATCAGTATAACCAGCAGTACAAGGAGGCATCGAATGTCCAAGGAAACCGAGCCTCTTGGGTGAAGGAGGTTTCCTCTCTAAACTAGTCTAGGAGGCAAGAAATGCCCAAGAACACCCATCTCAATTTGAGCCTCTTAACCTAAGGAGGTTTCCTCTCTAAACTAGCCTAGGAGGCATGAAATGCCCAAGAACATCCATCCCTCTTAACCTAAGGAGGTCTCCTCTCTAAGCTAGGTTAGAATGGAAATTAGATTAATAGGCTTTCACACAACACAATCATTTCTGAATAATACCTCCACATTCACATTAAAACACAACCACACACAAATCATTCAATTCATACAAGCATTCACATAATTGTAGCTAGGGTTTACAAACACCCAAGTGAAATAAAGTACTACTCCATGCTAGGAGAAGGGAAAAACAAGAAAGAGGAAAGGGAAACCATCAAGAAGATGCAAACCCTATTCCCACTTCCTTGAGTAAGTCGAGCACATATTTCCGTTGAGAGATCACAATCCCTTGATGCGATATCGACACCTCCATTCCTAGAAAATATTTCAGATTTCCTAGATCTTTTATTTCAAATTCTTCTACAAGTTGAGCTTTCAATCTAGCAATTTCTTCTGTATCATCCCCAGTAATTATGATATCATCCACGTAAACTATCAAAATTGAAAGCTTCATAGTAGATGAGTGTTTCACAAATAGGGTGTGATCTGTTTGACATTGGTAGTATCCACCTTGTTTAACAGTCTTGGTGAACCTGTCAAACCATGCACGTGGTGATTGCTTCAACCCATACAAAGCCTTCTTGAGTCTACAAACTTGTCATTTTACTAGATTTTTCACTCCAGGAGGAAACATCATGTAAACTTCTTCAACAAGGTCTTCATTGAGGAAAGCATTTTTAGTATCAAGTTGGTGTAATGGCCAATCATGATTCACAGCAAGAGAGAGGAGTACCCTTACTGTGTTAAGCTTTGCCACTGGTGCAAAGGTCTCATCATAGTCCACACCATGTTCTTGAGTAAATCCTCGTGCAACTAGTCTTGCCTTGTATCTCTCAATTGAACCATCTTCCTTATATTTGATTGTGAATATCCATTTGCAGCTAACCGTATTCTTCCCTGTAGGAAGGGATACAATATCCCAAGTAGCATTTTCCTCCAATGCCCTTAATTCCTCCATGACTGCAGTTCTCCATTTAGGATGTTTCATTGCTTCATGAATATCCTTTGGCACCTGTTCTTCCTCTAGAGCAGATATAAAGGTTCTGTGGGATTTGCTAAGACGGTCATAGTTGACATGTCGAGCAATAGGATACTTAGGAGTCTTAGTACAGTTTCGAACTCCCTTTCTAAGAGCAATAGGTATATCTTCCACTCCTACTGTTGTAGTATCATCTGCAAGTTCCTCTAGCACTACATTATGATTTGCACTAGAATCATCTTCCATATCTTCCAATTCTGCCTAGTGTCATTTTCCACTTCGACATTAGTCTCATCTTCCACATCTGTACTTGGAACCTTGTTCCTTCTTTGATATACTAGTAGTGGCTTCTCCACTACTAGATGATCCCCCTGATTTGGTGTGGGAGGCTCATCAAAGTCAGTATCCAAGGTAATGAGATCAACAAAAACCTGCTGCCCAGACTGTTGTGCATCAATCGAACTAGATGAATCATGAGAACTCTCCCCCTTAGGCATAGCCGTGGTGAAGAAGGGTTGTGACTCAAAGAATGTGACATCACGAGTCGTGTTGTAGGCTAGGTCATCCTAGTTTTTCTTATCTTGAGAAGTTGTTTCCAACACTGTTTCAGAATAAAAGTTCCAAGGATTTTGAATGTGAAGTGTGCCTACTTGCTAAACATACTGGATCTGTGTATTCGGGAATTGGCTATCGACCTACCACACCGTTCAGTGTTGTGCATAGTGACATATGGGGACCTATGAAAATCAGAAACATCAATGGTGCCAAGTGGTTCATCACCTTCATTGATGATCACACTCGGTTAACTTGAACGTTTTTGATGAAAGAGAAGTCTCAAACTGCTGGTATCTTTTAGAACGTCCACACCATGGTGGCTACACAGTTCAAAACCAAATCCAGGTATTTAAAACTGACAATGCTCACGATTATTTCAATAAGACTCTTGGGGTATTTCTGCAGACACACGACATTATACATGCTAGTTCTTGCGTCGACACACCTCAGCAAAACGGCATTGCTGAACGCAAGAACAGACATTTGCTCGATGTTGCCCGTGCACTCATGTTTACTCATCACGTCCCTAAGCATATGTGGGGGGAGGCTGTTCTTACAGCAACTTACCTTATCAACCGGATGCCAAGCAGGGTCTTATAGTTCCAAACCCCACGACATGTTCTTCTCGACATCTATCCTCACGTGAAAATTACTCCTCCAACCTCCCTCCAAAGGTATTTGGCTGCACGGTTTTCATCCACAATTCTTCCCCAAATCGGTCTAAGTTGGATCCAAGATCTCACAAAGGGGTCGTTATTGGTTATTCTTCCACACAAAGAGCTATAAGTGTTTTGTTCCACATACCAGACGAATCTACACGACTCGTGATGTCACATTCTTTGAGTCACAACCCTTCTTCACCACGGCTATGCCTAAGGGGGAGAGTTCTCATGATTCATCTAGTTCGATTGATGCACAACAGTCTGGGCAGCAGGTTTTTGTTGATCTCATTACCTTGGATACTGACTTTGATGAGCCTCCCACACCAAATCAGGGGGATCATCTAGTAGTGGAGAAGCCACTACTAGTATATCAAAGAAGGAACAAGGTTCCAAGTACAGATGTGGAAGATGAGACTAATGTCGAAGTGGAAAATGACACTAGGCAGAATTGGAAGATATGGAAGATGATTCTAGTGCAAATCATAATGTAGTGCTAGAGGAACTTGCAGATGATACTACAACAGTAGGAGTGGAAGATATACCTATTGCTCTTAGAAAGGGAGTTCGAAACTGTACTAAGACTCCTAAGTATCCTATTGCTCGACATGTCAACTATGACCGTCTTAGCAAATCCCACAGAACCTTTATATCTGCTCTAGAGGAAGAACAGGTGCCAAAGGATATTCATGAAGCAATGAAACATCCTAAATGGAGAACTGCAGTCATGGAGGAATTAAGGGCATTGGAGGAAAATGCTACTTGGGATATTGTATCCCTTCCTACAGGGAAGAATACGGTTAGCTGCATGTGCACTACTACTATCTCCATAGTGATGCTCCACATCCGTCGTGTCCCGCAAAAGATACAGCCCATCATATAGTTCACCACTGCCAATCGTCCTCTTCGTCCCCACTTCCTACAACACACAACCATTGGGGGTAAACTTAGCTTCACAGTAGAGGTCATGAGTAACTCGTGGAACAGATAGGAGGTTGCAGTCAAGTTTTGGTACATGGAGTACAGGACAGAGAGTGAAGTCTTTAGTCACCCGAACTATACCAAATCCTTCAACAGGAGCAATGGTCCCATCAGCAATACGAACCCCAGTTTTCCTAGGATAGGGCTGTAAGTTCTGTATTAGCTCCTTACAACCCATCATATTATCTGTGGCACCTGAGTCTAGAATCCATACATTCATAGAATTCCGCTGTGAAGTGTGAGATTGAGGAATACCTGATTTTTCGAACAGCTAAGTTATGTAGCCTTTTGGTTTTGATTCAGCCTGAAGTACCTAAGTGAACATCTTCGGAAGAGCTTCCAACTACCCTTTCGAAAATTGACCTTCTTCCTCTGTACCCTTGCTGGTTGCTGTATTAGCACGTCCTTTCTGATGACCCATATTTGATTTCCAGCCTGGTGGTCCGCCGATAATTTCCCAACATTCATCTTTCGTATGAAATTGTTGCTTTCAAAATTCGTACCATTTTGCTACAGCATCCGAGTTGGTTCTCGGTTTTCCCTTTCCCCGGTTATTCTGAGAAACAAGTGTTCTGGTTGTTTCTGTTGTTAGGGCAGAGCTCGATTTATCTGAGGTGGACTTTGACTCTGCAAGCATAAGATGGCGACGACCTTCCTCCCTCAACACTTCAGCAAACGCTTCCTTCAAACTCGGGAAAGGCATTGTTCCCATGATCCTGCTTTTAGCTGCATCCAGATTTTGGTTGAGGCCAAGGAGGAATTGAATTTTTCGCTTCTTTTCCACAAACGTCTTAAACGTTTTTGCATCAGCCGTCGTTTCCCATTTCTGAGCTTCATACAAATCAAGTTGAAGCCAGCTTCAGACTAATCGGTTGTAGTATTCTGTAGCGCTCATTGTCCCTTGTTTGAAGTTGAAGAGTGTTGACTCTACTTCGAACAAGGCATAAGAGTTGTCTTGTGTGGAATATGTCTCCTCTACATCAGCCCATAGCTCTTTGGCAGATTGATGCAGTAGGTAATTGTCTCCAATGTACGGTTCCATTGTGGAAATAAGCCAGAACCGGACTTGGTTGTCGTCGTTGTTCCACTTGGTGTAAGCAACAACATTGGATTCCGCTAGTCTAGTTGCAGTACTAGTCAGATATTCCCCCTTTTGCTTCCCAGTGATGAACATCCGGACAGATTGAGACCACTGGAGGTAATTCTTCCCATTGAATTTTCTGATGGTGATTCCTCCAGAGCTTGATTTTGTGCCTGGATCATTGTTTGATGTGGCCATACTCTCTATTTTGGAGTTGGTAGATTGGATAGTAGAAGAGGAAGAAGAAGAATCGGGTGAATCTTCGTTTGTGCTCATGACAGAACGAGGTTACTGCCGGCAGCAGCGGAAGGAAGAACCGGCAGCTCTAATACCATATCAAAGTTTAGGAGAGAACACGAACAAAGCAGGGTTTTAGAGAATTCTGCTTCTCGTATATCTCATGATTTACAGAGTGAGAGAATATATAAGCTAGGTTAGGTGAGACCTACCATAACTGAAATATATCCTATTATCTAATCTTTCTACAATTAGACTAGGGCTAGCTGTTACCGCTAACTACAAACAGTACGTATCTTTCAACAGTTTAGATCTAAGAAATATAAAATGCAGCAGCTAGGGCTGGGAATCCAGACCAAACTGTATGGCAAACCGCGGTCTAGACTGTATCGTATGGTTTGGTCTGGACCGTGAGACCAGAACTATGGTCTGGTCTGGTTTGCGGTCTCCTCCTTTAGTGCGTGGTCTGAAGTGGTCTGGACCGCGGTCTACCGCAGTAAACCGTAACAGACCGCGACACACTACCTAGGACCTTGGACAAAAATAACACTAAATTGAACCTCCATATGTGTATTTGAAGAACAAAGTTAGTTGATTCTTCATCTAGTTGAGAGCCAACAAATTGAAAAATGATCGCTTATATGTTATCTCCTTATCAAAGTACCACATAAAAATTAGAAAGACTCATAAATAATATTCACAGATAATATCTAGACTATGGAGTGAATAAAAATTAAACACTACAAAAAAATTCGTTCACCTTGATGAGATAAGAAAAATTATTGAGATATATGCGACCATCTTAGTGGTTCGAAATTACCTCGACGTCATCAAAAAGGTTATCAACTGGGAGAACCTTCGGATCACTCGAGAGAGGAGAGAAGCGGTAGCACAAAGAGATTGGTCACTAGATTTTTTTATAGATACCGGTGAAGGGTTGGAGGGCGAACAAGAGTTAATTTTTTTTAACATGGTCTGTCTGGTCCAGACCATACCGGACCGCACCGCACAGGTGTGGTCTGGTCTGGACCGTATAGTATATGGTCTGGTCCATGGTTTGTGTTCCAATCTCTCGGTCTGGACCACAGACAGTATCTATGGTCTGGTCTGGACCGGACCGCACCGTTTCCCACCCCTAGCAGCAGCTAATAAATTAAAGCTACAATCAATAATTGAGCGGTGAGCCACCAGCCCACCACCATCAACGAATAGCCATTGTTGTGGCAGCAGGGGAGATGCTGACGGCTGACCTCTTCAATTTCACGGAGCTAGAACGCGACCCAGGTAACGAGGTGAGTAGTGGAAGGCCAGTGTAGTGAGTATGAGTTAGTTGGGCTCTCAATTAACCGGTTTGGCACCCATTTCTCTCCATGCGTTATTTTTGGACGTGTTATTTCAAAATAACGCGAAAATGCGTTATACACAATAACTATGGGGCGTGGAGTTATTCTGAAATAACTCATTTGTCACTCTTTCCGCCCCTCTCCTCTCTCCTTCCTCTTCCTCTTTTCCTCGAATTCTTTGATGGCTAACAGAGAAAAACTGGACGGATCAAAATCAATATTTATGCCTTTTTTGGTTTCCTTTCTTCATGCTGATCAAAATGAGTAGGTGGAACCCTAGGTTTGAAGTCACCTTGTTCTTCGATGGCTCAAGAACAGGGACGCATGAATCTAGAATTGGGGGTTTTGAATTCCTTCTTTCTAAAACGGGGGCTACATGTAGGAGAAAGGCGGCGAGTAGGGATTGAGCTGAGGCTGAGATCTGGGGTTTCTTCTTCAAGTCGCTATAGCAATTCGGAACTTCGTTGGCTGCGAAAACTGGGGTGTCGGGCGGGGAAGTTTTATGTTTGATTTCAGAAAACTAATCGATTTCTCCTCTTTTCCCATTTCCTCGCCGACGTTGAATCGACTTGGATATGAAGAGGAAAGCAGTATTCACCCACTTGCTGGTAGAGTTGCTGCTGCTGGATGCTGCTACGACCTCAGGTAACAGGTTCCTGCAGCAAAATTGATGGAGTTTCTCCCTCTGTTTTTCCTCTGTTCGCTAGTCTATGCTTTCATCCATAGTCTGCTGGTCTATTATTCTATATTTGCTCTCCCCAGAATATGGTTTTAGTCAGCTCTGGTTTTGCATATTGGTGCTGGTTTATGCAAATTCTGAGATTGGGTTCAACTCTGATTTTGCATATTGGTGTTGGTTTGGTGCTGGTTTATGCTAATATGGAATTAGCTGAAGAAGATGATTGTTTTATTTGTTCCTTCATTCATGTTCTCTCAGACTTTAAGTATGGGTTGGTTGGATTTGTAAACAAAATGGAAGTTCAGAGGTAGCCTTTGTAACATAATCGAAGAAGGGTAATGAGTGAAATGAAGGTTGCTGGGAAATGGGAAATGTTGAGGGGGTAATTGTATCTTTTAGGTTTTTCGTCGATTACTTTAACGGAATATACACAGATATACAGGGCGAGTTCTGTGGTGCCGTGACCGCACCCGTGCAGGCTAATTTGCAGCCGTTAGATACACAATATCAGATAATGGCCATTGATCTCTGACCAACAAATAATTAAAATCGGTTAAACCCATTATTTCGGTTGATTAAACTATTGTTTTCTTCGCCTCTCTCGGTGCACTCAATCGCCAGGCCCCAAACAGCGGTTGGGAAGAATTGAACTCTGGCAAAATTCTCCGGCTAGCAGCAGCAACGACGTTGATGACGATGGTGATTTGGACTGACGACAAGAGCCAGGATCTGGATTTTTTCATTCATAGAAGAGCAAGGTGGATTGTAGCGGCATAGGCGATAGTGGTTATGGCCGGCTGGGGATTACGACGGCGATAGTGGTTATGGCCGGTCGGGAATTACGACGGCGATGGTGGTTTTTAATTGATCATTTAGAACGACGAACGGGGAAGAGTGGGGACAGGGGACTCGGGGAAATAGATAATTTAATTTGTTTATTTTACTTTATTTTTTATCTGATCACATTTGAAGTTTTGAACCAATTCTTTCTTACCAAACCGGTCAGATTAATTGCCGGCACAGGTACAGTGACCGCACAGTAGAATTTCCGGATATACAGATATACACAGATATAGCTATTTCGTCAATTATTTTAACGGAATAGTAAAAAATGATGACTGTACCAACGGTTTTTTGCTGACATGGTAGGGCAGGGTGAGTACTGATGCGATATCAACTAGCACAATATTTAATTCCCGTGGTCCAAAGATGAAGGTTCAAATAATGAGATATAAGGATCAATTAGGAGCATTCTTGATGGATAGATATTGCTCACATGGCTGCCAAATCGAGACAACGCGTTAAACACTTGGGATGGCATGAGAATTATGGTTCATGGATTAAGTGGGTGGATGATTAATTAGTCCATGAATATTCATTGCCAACACCACGTTGAAAGCAATTTGTTTGCTTTGGTTAATTGTCATTCATTCAAAGGAAGCATGCGTGGGAAGCAATTACAAGCGCCAGCGGAATTCCTATTCCTCCAAGGAAAAGAAGAACAGGAAGGATACGTACCGGGCAGCGGTGCTATTATTTGAAAACATTTGTTTAATTTTTTATTATGGTTATGCAGGAGTTTAATTAGTAGTTTTAGTGCTTATTTAATTAGTATTATGTTTACTATTTAGTTTGGGATTTGTTTTCCTATTCCTTTTAGGTTAGATTTATGTTTTTGTGACCTCTATAAATAGAGGGTGTAAGACCACGAATTTTGTACCAAATATTCAAGTTATCAATTAAAAGTTTTTACTCGTGTTCCTTTGTGAACGTTTGTGCAAGACTTCTGTCGAGGATTCCAGGAGATTGTACGTGTCTCTTATCAACTAGAGAACGCGTCTAGTTTTGGTGAGCATCTACCTTATATCAATTGCCCCTTCCCACGAGTTGATTCTGTCTGATTGGTTTAATATATCAATTGCCTTTCATCACGAGTTGGGATTGTCTGATTGATTCTGCATCTATCTTTTATTTCAAGTTGGACAAAAGCTTCGAAAATCCTTAAAAAGAAGGAAGGCTGCGTACTTTGGTCATATCATCCGAGTTTGAGGGTTTTCTTCGAATTAGGGTCATATCAAGTACAGTAAACAGATTGAGAGCCATCTCTCATCGATAGTCTCCATGAGGAAGACTTAGGGTTTTAGAGGAAAATCAAGCGATACAAATTCCAAAATTGAGAAGTGAAACGTCAAGACATTCGAACGATTTTTAGTTAAGAAGAGGCAATTGTAAGATATAAAACTGATTGAAGGATGTTTCTCGTCGAGGAAGACGATCGGAGCAATTGAAATTGATTATTGAAGAACTCGAACGATTGTGGAGGAAGATGATTGAGAGAGAAAGGTTGGAGGAAACGATTACTTATTTGGCCGGCGAGAGGGAAAGGGTGAGATGGATGCAAGAGACATCGCCGAAGGGAGCAAACAGACAAGTGAGCTAAGAAAAGGTCGGCGATTGCGAGTGAAGTTGGGTGTATGTAAGAAACACGTTTCTTAGTGTTTCGTTATTATTATTTGTATTAGTTGGGTGGAGTTAGGCGGCTAGGTATAGCCGAATAGTCTAGGGTTAATTATTAGGTTTTGAGTTTATTTCTCATAAATATGTACTTTGAGTTTACGTCATAATCAATCAAGATGAATATTAAGAAGAATCTCCTAAACCCTAATTTATCCTCTCAACTCCTAATTTATATTCTCTCCTAATCTAAGGCCTCGGCCGATTCTTATCTATTATGTTCTTTTGTCATCTAAATCCCTAATTTTTTCTCTCAACCCTGAATCCCTAATTGTTACGAGCAATTGCGGGTGCGGAAGATCAGTCCCTAAAAGCCCTAAGAAGTGGGTTTCTTACAATTGGTACCAGAGCCTGGTTGTAGGCATCCGTACCAAAGCTATGGCAAGTTTCGAGATCTTAGTCAAAGAACTCACAAAGCTTTTGAAGTCGAAACTGGAAGGGGTAAGGAAGAATTAGGTTACATCGTCCTTGCCGCTGTGCGAGAATAGCGCGCAGGCTGCTCTAACCAAAACCGCAGTCGCCTCTGCGACGATGGAGCGAGTGAAGGAAGACCCACCGCAATTGTCGATGAAATTGTCGAATGTCGCAACTGCAGAACTAGATTACGAAGATTGGTTGGAACAACCTGTGTTCCTAATCGTGTTCGAAGCAACGGATGGACCCAGTCCGCACCTGCCGTCAGTAGCGGAGCCAGGAAATTGGCCAAGGGGGTGTCTTTATCATATCATAAAAAAATCACCTATACAATAGAAAAGTCAACTTTAAATTAAACAAAAAGTCAACAACGCAATACTCTAAATTCACACAATTACATCAAAATAGTTTCACGTACACCGGTTACAACGTCAAACAAATAAGTTCAGTAAACACAAATCAAGACTTTCATTCATCAAATATTACAAATTAGAACTCAGAAGTACCTTGGAATTGATTTTGTGAAACAAACAAGTGAACTTCAATTGGTACTTCTTCACTTTCAACTTTGTTTAAACAAAAGACAAGAAATTTCTCTGTTGTACAGCTACAAAAAAAAAGGCCAAATTCACTTGCATAGCCAAAACTTTGACGCTTGTGACAAATATAGCCACTTTTGGCGAAATACCAGAAATAACCAGGATTTTGAAAGTCCGATGACAAATATAGCCATTTCCGTTAAATAGTTTGACGGCGTCAATGACACCGTTAGTCTATTTAACGGACAGATGATGTGGCTGCCACCTCACCTTGTGTTTCCTTCCCACCTCAGCATATATTGACATGTGGGATGCCACGTCATCCTTAATGGGTAAAAAAAAAAATCTGTTATTTGTTTCATTTCCCCAATTCAAACCCATTTAGGGTTTCTGCTCTTCTCGACGAACCTCCTTTCCGCCGATTGAAGCAGCACTCGTGGACGACTTTCCCCGCTCCGCCGCACTCGAGTCGACGACTTCCCCCTTTCCGCCGCACTCGCACTCGAACGTCGACCCAGCATCGAACGAAGACCACCCCGCCGCCTCCCTTTCCTTTCGCGTCGACCCAGCCTCGAACGAAGACCACCCCGCCGCCTCCCTTTCCTTTCGCTAACGACGGCCCCCGCGACGACCCCTTCCTCGTCTTCACTGTTTCTCGCCATCCACGACCGCCGCAGATCGGCGAAGACCCCTTCTCCTACGTCATGTCTCACCGGGGTGGATCATCTTCCAGAAGCGAGAACAGCATTGGGGTAGTCTGTTGCTACCACAATCTTCCTGCTGTGACTAATAGAGCCGGTACTGAGTCCAACTCAGGAAGGAGATTCTACGGATGCAAGTTTTGGATGGTAAAGGAGGTTGGCAGAATCTTCATTTTCCAGTTGTGTATGTTTGAGAGTTGTGACCATACACTCTGTTGATGCAGGTACCAAAAAAGAACTGCAATTTTTTTAGGTGGGTGGATGGGGCGGTGGATGAAGGCGATGCCTCGAACTCTGGCATAGACAGTACAATTCTTAATCTACAAGAGAATTTACGGTTGGCTGAGGCTAAGGCAGAGAGAAGGAAGAAGGAGAGAAAAATTGTCGTCCAAGAGTTGAGGAAGGTTAACAATGATGTTCGTGTCATTCGACATATGTTCGCCGTTGTTATTTTTTTGAATGTAGCGTTACTTGCCGTAGTGTTGGCCAATCGCAGCAGTATGATTTAGGAAGATTTGTTCTAAGTTAGTGTTATGTATTGTTATGACAAGTAATGTGTTTCTCGCAAGCTATGCAGTGTTTATGAATTGAATTGGCAAGTTAGTGTTCTGAATTTGGCATGACTATTTAGTGTTAGTGTTATGTATTGAATTGGCAAACCTTAACATTCATAACCTGATGCATCTGTTTAACAAGGCAGGACTTAACAACCAAAGGAGATACCATAAATTACATCCATTGTTTTCCATCCTAACATCCATCTACTAACATTCAGAAATTCCATTACATCCAAAGTTTGTCATCCTAACATCCAGCTACTAAAACTAATCCGAAAGGTGGACAAGGTGGACATAGACCATGAGTCACATAACAAAAAAAGTTCCACCGAGTGCATCCATAATACGCATTGTTTCCAAAAATGTGACTCATGGTGACTTTGGCATCTAAGGTTGTGTCGGAGGCGGCTGGCTTCCTTGAGCATCCATCTCAGTTGGCTGAGTACCTCCAGCAGGACGACCCCGTGATCCATTCAACTGAAACAGATTATGAAGTTAGCAAAATCTCACAACAATGGGGTACCAACCATCATTCCAACGAAAGAGCATAACTCAATCTTACCCTCACGTATTGGTTCCCAGTTGCCTCACTTACATACACCCCTATCCCTCTTGTGGCAATTCGCATCTCACGCTCAATCGTCCTTCGATCTCCCACATTCAACACAACATCCTAGAATTAAAATGACCACACATTATTCCACACAACATTCAAATTATCCTAACATTCAAATTATCCTAACATTCGTTATTTTTTTCTTACCTGTATTCCATTTCCTCGGTTGAGGGGGCAGGTTCTCGCATTATGGGTCGCTGATTGACACTTAGAGCAATGAAGAACTCACTTCCTCCTTGTGTCGGGGACAGTTGGGGCAGCAGCACTGTTTCCAGCTGGAACAGTAGGGCCAGCAGTATTGTTTCCTCCACGAGTAGCCCTTCTTGGTGCTGTTCGAGCACTTCTTGCTTCATTCCGAGTGTTAGCCTGAAAAGTAGAATGGCCCAATGTTAGTAAGAAATAAATTAATTGTAAAATATTACATGTTCCAATGAAACTGATGCATACCTGAATCTCAGCTGCTGTAGCTTTACAGCCCCTCGAGTTATGCCCCTCAGCACCACATTTCTTGCAATGTATGATACTCCCCCTTCTAGTTACCTCCTCGCCAACCCCATTACGCTGAGGTCTCGTTTCCAACTCGTGAGCAGCCCTTCGTCGCTTCTTCTTAGGCCTTCCCGGCATGGGTCTTTGCTTCGGAGGATGAACTGGAAGACCAATAGCATCTGGCCAAGCCTGCCTACCATCTAAGCAAGGGATGCCAATCTTGTAGCCTAACTCGACATGGTAGGCCTTGTAACAAGGATGTACATAATCGTCCACCTCCTTCCTCATATGTGAAATTGCCTAGACAGCATGGCAACAAGGCAGCCCACTCAATTGCCAGTATCCACATGTACAGCTCCTATCATTTAGGTCCACTATGTAGCCATTCTCACCCATCTTCACTTCACACTTATCCGCCAATGTCTGCCTAGCAATGCACAACCTAGCCAATTCCTTTACTTTCTCAACCCTCTTCCTAATTCTAGGGCACAGCATATCCGGGCTGTCCATCAACATGTTATACTTAATTACGAACCTATCCATCATGTAACACCTAATACCCTCTAGCATGTCGATTATTCTCAAGCCCCTATACTTCACAATTGTCCCATTAAACGTCTCACAGATATTGCTTTCAACACTATCACACTGTGACATTGTCGACATGAATGCTCGGCAAAAGGAACGGGGTTCGGCAGCCATGAAATCAGTAAAGGGTGTGGATCCAAGTTCGGTACCTTCAATTGTCTCCATTTCCTTGGTGGCCTTCTTCCAATCATTCTCATTGCAAGCATAAACTGCCTTCCAAAACAGCTCACGAACCCGGTCAGTTTTGTTCTTTGCCTTCCAATTCGCATAAACATGGCGGGCACACTTGCGATGTTCTGCATCGGGTAACAACTCATGGGTAGCTTCAATCAGACCCTACAAGTACAAAGAAAACAGTTATGGAGCTGTAGCAAGTTAAACAAATTATGAAGTAAGTAAACAAAAAAGGGAGCAAGTTGTTATGAGTCTAACCTTTTGTTGGTCCGATATGATTGTCCAGCCCCTACCATCTGTTAAAGCCAGCTCTTGAGAGAGAATGTTGACAAACCACCTCCAAGAGTTTGCATTCTCTCCCTCCACGACTGCCCAGGCGATTGGGAACATCTGATTATTTCCATCCTTCCCAACCGCTGCAAGAATCATGCCCTTTACCTCCCCCTTCAAGAAACAACCGTCAAAACCGATAATTGGCCGGCAAGCGAGAAGAAAACCGTCTCGGATGTTTGAGAACATCACAAACATCCTTTGAAAGTAGACCTTTTCTTGTGTGGGATGCGGTTCAACCTCTAGCTCGAACCGGCCTTACCTGTCTCGTTTCTTCAGCTCACCCAAGTATGACCGTAGCCTCGTGTACTCATCTTTCAAAGAGCCACTAAGGAGTCGAATGGCTACCACTTTCGCCCTGTAACATGTCCTTCTTTTAACCTCGATATTGTGCTTCAGTTTCACTTCAGCCATGATCTGCTCTGGGGCCCATTCAGGATTGATCCTGAACCTCTCTAGCATGTCCATCGCAATCCACTTCGCCGTAACTTGATTCACCCGAAGCTGTCTTGAACATGAATGTGGCAGCCCTACCTTTCTTACCATAAAAGTCTGGTTCTTCCTAAACCAGCTTGCATACACCTTCCATTTACAGCTCTCGTTCTTACACTTCACTTCCCTCCTCGTAGGGTTAACCCTTGTCCACCTCAAACATGCCCCATTTGCTACAGAATGCTTCACCACCGCAGTCTTAAACTGGTCAGGATCCTTGAATCTCATGCGAGCCACAAACTCGAACTTACCCTCACAATGAGGATCGTAGTGTGGTGCGTTGTCGAACACATCAGCACTAGCCTCATCAGATATGTTACCTCGCACGTGGTCAGACTCCTCGGAAAGTCTGTAGCTCGAATGATTACTTGTCTGCTTACGTGCTTGCTCAGTTGGTGGCACTTCCTCAGTTTCAGAATCTTCTATTTCCTCTTCATTCACATCAAGGTTGTCAACCCCAGCTTCTTCAACCTCTTCCTCATCAGATTCCACCTCTTCAAACTCGTCCAACTGCTCCACCTCCTCCCCATGACCATCAGCCCTCATTCTCACCTTTCTCTTCCGCATTTCTCCATATGCCCGAAGGTTGTTCCTTGCCTCATGGTACTCATCGTCGGATGTGTCAGCATCATCGGAGTCGTAAACATGGATCATTGGTCGAGCCACAGAAGCAGCAACTGTTCCTTCGTCTGCTGATAGGTAATCAGCAGAATTCACTACCTCATTTGGGTCATTCTCTTCCATTGAACTCACCATCTGTTACAAGGAAAACACATTCAAATACTATTTTAATCACAATTACTATTATAATCACAATGTTAATGCATTTTAAATCAGTAAAGCACAAAGGAATCATCACCAACAAACATTATTCTATCCTAGGGTTTTCCAAAGGCAATGACGATTCTGCCCAGTAGCTTTCCAGTTGCTTACCTTCGAATTCAAGGGCAAACTCGAGAAGACAAGAATTCCAGTGGTCCCGAGGAAACCCCTTTGTGTCGCTTTTTGTCTTTAATACCAGGTACGCACTATAAAAGGAAGAAGCAAACCAAAATTTACAACACTGCAGTTGAAATTCATCTCATCTGAGCTCAGTGAAGTTGTCTCGACACTTACCAGTCGACTGAAAGAAAGAAGCCCAGAAATCGCCCTTGTTCGAAAATCAACAATCTTCAAGATTAGGGTTTTTAGGGTTCGGGAAATTTTTGCCTGTCTTCTCGATTCCCCCTCACCAACAGCGAATCGCGATGCCAGAACGTGGAGAGGATCTATGAAACCCCGCGCGGCATGGCCGATTCCATGGAAGGAGGCTCGGGAAGATTTTAGGGTTCCGGAAGGAAGCTCGGGAAGATTTTAGGGTTCGTGAAAGGAGGAAGGGGGTTTTGCTTCTCGTCGTGGGTTCGTGGTTCGGAAAGGCTCTCGTCGTCGTCGACGACTACCGCCGCCGATCTGGAGAAGGGGGAGCGTCGTGCTTCGTTCGTTGGAGAAGAGGGATTTTCTCTGGAATATCGACTCGGGGAAAGGGAAGGGAAAAATGAAAACGATAGAAAGTGACTGAGGAGTAAAACGTCTCATTTACCGTTGCGACTTTTTTTTTTTCCACGTGGAATTCACTTGTTCGGCGATAAAAGCCACGTCGGTTGGTCCGTTTGTCCAGTCAGCCCGTTAACTTACACTGTCAAACAATTGGACGGAAGTGGCTATTTCTGGTATTTCGCCAAAAGTGGCTATATTTGGCAAAACCGTCAAAGTTTTGGCTATACAGGTGCATTTGGCCAAAAAAAAATGAGCGAGTTTAAACAAAAGACAACAATTTATTACTATAAATAAAGACGAAAGTGCATTACATAACAAAACTCACTCGATCGAAATGATAAGAAATTCTTCCTGCAACTGAATGGTCATTGGTTGGAATTTGTATATACCCCTACTCGGAAATTTTTTCTCCAAATCAGGGGGTGCTTTGCACCCCCTCCTCTCCAAGTGGCTCCGCCACTGCCTGCCGTTGGCCACAATGGAAGAACTGGTGGAAGCGGCCACCGAAGAGGCGCCAAGTTGCGTCAAATCGATGAAAGAAGCGCCATCACTGTTGTTGGGAATTGCCGATGCGTCTTGACTACCACCACAATGGAAGATGGAGAAGGCTGGCTCAAGGAGGAGAACAAGGTTGCCGAGGTTGCGGTCGATACGGTGGCGAAAGAAGAAGGTGACCTTGTTGCTGCTACCGTTGTTCTTGACAATGAAAGAGCAGCCGCCTCTGTAGAAAACTTCCAAGCAGGAGATGGGGAGCAAAGGTCCACACTAGAGCGATGGAACCTCACAACTGATGGGTGGAAAAACAGAAATAAGAATGCAAGGTTCAGAGATGACCTTGAGTTCGATGAGGTGGGAGATTGGAAAGAGTCAGCCAGTACGGAAGGCAACGAAGCAGAGAATTCAGCGCTACAGCAGACAGGTCTGGTTGTTCGATCGAGCGCCAAACCACTAGCCGAGAAAGAAGAACCAGCGAAGGCTAGCGTCGCTGAGTCCTCGCCATTCGCCACAACGACCGAGAACTAGTCAGCCAGAAGCTTGGGCACGCCGATTGCTGAACTCGGCGGCGGCAAAGATTCCCTAGGCAAAGCATAGAAGACGAGCCAGTGGGAGGATTCACCGTAGTCGAGAATCGCGAGAGGAGCTCGGCGATCGGTGGCCCTCTTCGCGGCAGCGACGGTCAGGAAGAGCGAACCGGAGTCGGACCTCGGCACCCCGGCATTGTCTTCGAAGAAGAAGAGAGAAGCAACGGGTCTAGCGACGGCGGACTGTTCGCCGAGGAAAAGAGCGCGGAGAAGGAGTGCGGCGACCTACGCCACAAAGCAGAGCGAGGCCGTCGTGGTGACAGTCAATCATTGAGGAAGTCGCCAAAGAAGAAGGAAGAGGTCGCAGTTAGCAAAGCACCGGCGGAGGACAACTCGAAGCCGGAGGTCGAGTCGGAGAAGAAGCCTCTGCCAGAAGACGAGACGGAGTGGAAGGGGATCGGCGGGCCTCTGTGCCGCCGGCAGGATTACGCTCAACCGACGGACGAGATGAGGAAGATGGAGGGCGGTAGCGGCGATATCCCTCCTTCGGCAAACCTAGGTCGCGCCTCCAAACGAATCTCCGGGTCGGTTGGGCCGAGAAGCTGGGTCTGCGCAACCCAACAACATCAACTCTCTCGTTTGGGCCAAGTTGTGAAGATCTCCTATGTTAATAGGCTAAGCAGAACGGACCCATGTGCTGAAGAATGGGAGCAGAAGCTAGTGCTAGCAGTAGCTGAGGAGGAATGGACTTTTGGGCCGCATATGCATGGAGAAACTGAGTTGACGAGTGGTCTAGCTGAGGGAGAAGCCCAATTCGTCCCATGCCTCTTGAAAATAGAAGGTGGGCCGAGTTTTCAAAGAAGGCTTGGGCCACCAATGGGCTCTCCTGTTGGGTTTATTTTGCAGGAACCAAGCATGAAGGAAAAGAAATGGGCTTCCAGGATTAGCTATATTGGGCTTTCAAGTAAACTTAATCCAAATCACTTTGGAGAAGAATGCAACCCAAAAGAGCTTATTTTCACCAAGTCCATGGAGGAAATTACGGAGCTATTCTTCGAATATTTCAAGTTGGTAAGTGAAGATAAGCAAGAAGGACATTTCCTTGACTCTTATTCTGTGGATTTTGAAAAGGAAGAAGAAGAATTGTTCGGTTACAGAGAACGTGACATGTGTCATGTGGTTCGAGAAAAGTCGAGGGCAGTGAAAATTGTTGCAGATGACTTCCTTTATAAGCTGGAGCGCGACTGGAAATGAAGAAAGCGGAAGGTCAAGGAGATGAAAGTTGACTGCAACCTTGAAGACAAGGTCGCTTTCAAGGAGGGTGGATTATAAGATACAAGTTTCTTAGTGTTTCATTATTATTATTAGTATTAGTTGGGTGGAGTTAGGCGGCTAGGTATAGCCGAATAGTCTAGGGTTAATTATTAGGTTTTGGGTTTATTTCCTATAAATATGTACTTTGAGTTTACGTCATAATCAATCAAGAAGAATATTAAGAAGAATCTCCTAAACCCTAGTTTCTCGTCTCAATTCCTAATTTCTATTCTCTCCTATTCCAATGCCTCGACCGATTCTTATCTATTCTGTTCTTTCTCATCTAAATCCCTAATTCTTTCTCTTAACCCTAAATTCCTAATTGTTACGAGCAATTGCGGGTGTCGAAGATCAGTCTCTAGAGGCCCTAAGAAGTGGGTTTCTTACAGCGTAGAAGGTCAATGGTTGATGTGTGCGAGCAAGCGAGCAGATAATAATAAAAAAATTATTATAATTTTCTAATTTTTTAATGTAACGTGGCAGCCATGTGGCACGGAGTGTTTAGTTGGAGTTGACATGTGAGCTGAGGTGGCATCAACGTCAACATAACATCAAAGTTATTGACAAAGTCATTGACACCCAAAGTTTTTAACATAAATGGCTAAATTTGACAAACTAGTTTAAAAATGTGACTATATCTGTGTATTTTTTTAAAAATGGACTATTATTGTCATAACATGCAAAGTTAAGCCCAATATATATAGACTTCTGTTAAAAAGTTGCACAATACACCATTAACTTACTCTGCATTTATCTGGAACGCATATATCAATTATCTTGTTCTGCGACTGCAATTGTCAAACCTTTAAAACTCATTTACGGAAAAAACCCATAAAACTCAATAAAATTGGATTAGTTGCGGACCACATGCAAACCCTGAAATGCAGTAACCTTTTGAATTTCACCATAAACAATCTAACATGCATTATGTATTACGGGTACACAGACCCTTTAAACTCACTAACCCTTTCGAATCCGTCAGCACCACCTTTACATTTACGAACTGCCAGCAATATCCACAATCTAAAACTCACTAATCCATTTGGTTCAAGTGTAATTGAAATTAGATGACACAGGGGCGGACCTATCACCAGTAAATTTGAATGAAACAAGGCATAACTGGAAAATTTGTCCACCTTCAAGAAAATCACGAACTGATCAAGCCAAAATCCTGGTGGAAATACGAGGATAGAATGATGCTTTCATCAGCGCCCATAACTTGAATCTCCTTCCTGTCATCACAGGGGAACAATCACCAACCGTGTTAAACTAGAATGTCTCAACACTAGAACACAGAGTTCGGTCCATAGCTCGTCGGGGATAACAAAATAAGCAACCAATCAATTTGGTGGACTTTAGCTCTGCAAAGCCAGGCTTTACGCCGCAATCACCATAGATTTCTCCTAATTGGATTCACAATTCGGAGGAATAGTCATGAAAAGTAGAACATGGACTCACCATGGGGAGTGAATACGAATCCAGTTGCCAACTTCAAGGTCAACGTGGCCACAAACTCTTGAATTGAAAACCACTGTCTTCTTCATTCCTCCACCTGCATATGCTATGGAGTTACCCGGCTGTGAGGCATCCTGTAACCAAAGCACTTTTAGGTTCTGTCTTATTTATATGCAACTCAATATATTGACTTCGCCTTCATCCTACAAAAATAAATCTCCAATTATAAAGCCTCAGCGATTAAGAAGAAAACGGAGATCTCTGGCAGAAACTTTCAGGATAAAAAGGTTTTTCTCAGTAGGTTTCTCAGAGAAATAATCAAGAGAAGCGGTTCGGAGTTTTGAGATGACCTTCATGTCCTTTGCAAATGAGCAAACACAGATTGTCAACTTCGCCTCCATGTATCTTGAGAGGATTTTCACTGTCATG